TATGGCTGGCTGGGGAATTCTGGGGGTAGAAGTCCACACATCTTCTGAGAGTTGAGTCTACACATCTGAGAGTCTACACATCTTCAAGCTGCCAAGGTTGAGAAACACTGATCTAAACATATAAGGAAGATACACAAAACAAAGAAAGTCCCAAGTTTCTAAGAGATGGCTATGACAAGCCTACTACATTTTATTCCTTCACTCAGCTCAGCCTCTTTCGAGTCGAGGTCATTAATAATTTTGTATTTGTTCTGTTCTTTATTTCTCAGGAATGAGTTGGAACGCCAGTTCCTTGAGTTGCTGCAGTTCAACATCAATGTTCCCTCGAGTGTTTATGCTAAGTATTATTTTGATTTGCGCTCCTTGGCAGAAGCAAACAATCTGAGCTTTCCTCTAGAGCCCCTCAGCAGAGAAAGGGCATGCAAACTTGAGGTAAGGCTCTTGATCATCTCACCTTTTGAACATTACAATGAGACCTCCTTTTATTTTACAATTCCCAAATGTATCCAGTGAATTACAATTTCATTTGTTACCACCAGGAAGTGTTGATCTTTGCTAATTTGCTACCTTGGCAGTTTTTTCAAAGATACTATCCATTATTCTCTACTCCAATCCCATTTCCCAAATTGTGTAGAGATTTTGGCACTCCTGGGATTGTGTAGAAAGAGTCAAGACCTGGCTGAACATAATCAGATGTTTACTCGGCCCTGTTTATCCCATCAGCCATTTATATAACATTCCAAAATGTTTGACTATCAGAAAAGTTGATGAAATCCCTGTGCTGCATCCTGAAGTTCTCAGGAATGCACAGTAAGTAGGGCCGAGTTTCTCACTGATTCCATGTTGCACCCTCCAGGTTATCAGAAATGGCAAGTTTGAATGACTTGCTTAGCTATAACATGGTTATACTTGGGTTAGACAGGGTGTCTGAGGAGAACAGAATAAAAAAAAAGTAAGAACGTAGCTATATATAAATCAAGTTTAACATGAGAAAAAGCATGTCATATTTTCATCCTTTCTCTTAATATTTCTGGCAACAGTTTACTGATTCATTTATATCCAGGATTATTAAGTAGACTGTCTAAAAGTACTTTTACAGAGTTTAAACCAAGTAACCATGATGCATTAATGCAGGACTGCAAAGAGGTTGGGGATCCTCAGCTTTTTTCTCATGACCTTGAGAAAGGGAACATGGATTTCTTTGATAGATTTGTATCCCACCATTCCTATGGGAGCTCAAGGAAGCATCCATAGCATTCCATCCTCTGCTTCTTCCTGTGGGATAAGTTGGGCTGAAAGAGTTTGAGTGGCCCAAAGTCATCCAATCAGCTGTCATGACTGAGGGATGGATTTGAATCTGGGTGTCTCAGGTCCTAGTTCAATACCTTAACCATAGTCCAATACCTTAACCCTAGTCCAGCACTGGTTCTCATGAATTTGTGTTATAACAGTATGTTTTGCTTCAGGTACCACAGTCTTGACATACAGTGGATGTGCCCTAATGGTAGAGTACCTACTTTGGATGTGGAGGTTTCAGGCATAATATCTAGCAATCATTATCACTAAATCATATGTTTGACCTTCTTCACTCTCCATTCTCCTACAGGCCATTTCTCGCTTGTGTGAAGACAAGTATAAGGACTTCAGGAAATCTGCAAAGAAACGGTCAGTCAGTTCGGACAATCTGACCGTAATTAGGTGGTCTCCTGCTATTATCTCCTAACAGTGAAGTCTGAAATAGAAAACTCTAGAAGTACTGTTTCTATCATCAACTTTGGGTGGGAGGGTTGGTTTGGGTGATTTTTTTTTCTTTTTTTCTTTTTCTTTTTCCTTATTTTTAGATCTGCCTTTACAGTGCCTCCCCTTTTGTGTAGCACACAAGAATAAATATAGGGATTGGTGAGAAGGAACTTTGGAAGAAGATTTGTTTTGTTGTTTATTACAGCTCCTCTCCTTTTTGGTGGGGAGAAGGCAAATACATACATGTGCTTAGAGAAGGAGACATCAGAAACCAATACGAGCATCATTAAAGAGGAGGAAGAAGAAGAAAAGGTCCTTCAGTGGCATGAAAACCAAAATCATGAAAGAAGGTCGGAAGAAGTGTTACAAGAAAGAAGTTGAATGTGTTTGACATCCTCTTCAATATCTTCTTGGTTTTCCCCGGTTTCGCATACTTTTTTGCTCTTTGATTGAGGTTGTTTTCTCTTCTGTAGCAACCATGGAGAAGGCCGTACCTGTGGTAGCACAACATGAGCCTCTGATTAGAGAGTCTGTTTCTTCTGTCCCACACCTTGATGTGCTTTTGTTCATAAGCTGTTTTATTAGCTTTCTTCCCTTAATTCTTATGCATATCGTCGTTTCTTGTGTGCTTTTACTGTATTTTTGGGGAAACGGATTGATTTACAGTGCTGAACCCAAAGTATACAAGATCAGGTGATTGATCATAATTCATTCCCACCCACCCCCCACCCCTTTTTTTTTTTTAATTTATAGCGACTGGTTCCATGATGCTGCCCACGAGGTGCATTGTCAGTACTGGTGCTTTGTAGTGTATTTGGTTGCAGGTGCCTTTCTACCTTTTTTGAGATGGGTTTATTTTTCCTTACTGTAAAAGTTATGGTTGTTGGAAGGATTCAGGTGACAGTGAAGGTTGGGCCAACTTGGAGACATCTGCATTAGATACAGTAGTCCTTTTACAAGATTTTCTTAGCGTTTAGAGATTAGGTAGAGTCAAGGGAGAGAGATGTAAAGAAAGAGTGAGAGTGAGAATCTTCTTTTGTACGGCCCAAATAGTTGATTTTCTTCACTTCCTGATTCAATGTTGCAAGCAATAGCCTCAAGTTTTTTATATGTTTACTTTAAATGGAAACCAATCTGTTTATATAAAAGAGAAAAAAAAATGTAAAAAAAAAAGTTTTTGTTCTCGTGGAAAAAGGGTCCATGGAAGAAGAAGAAAAGAGGAAGAATTATATGTGTGTGTGTATAATACACACACACATATACACACACATGTATGGGCGTGTGTGTGCGTGTAATAAAAACAAAGTGTTTTGTCACAGGTTAGGTTTTGGAATAAAAACTGTTTAAAATGAGTTTTTCAGTGTAGGTGCTTATAGGAATTTAAACAAAATGCAAACTGTGAAGAAAATTTGGTTGCTTTGTTGATTATTTTGTACTTTTTTTTTTTTTACTACTGGTTCCCACCCTTCCTATCTTTTAATGGGATAAGCAAGTCGAATACCGTAAATATAAAAGTACTTGTGCTCTATACAAATAATTGAATTTGCACATTGGAGAAAGGTGCCATGTTAGCATAAATAAAACCAACCAACCAGCCAAAATCAGCTTCAGTTTCATGACTGTGGAATTCACTCATCATGTTCCTCTGTGCAACGAACACACACACACACACACACTGCAAAAAAGGATCTTTCAATGAGGTTGATCTTGCTTTTTGTGTATTGCTTCAGCAAAACAGAGAAAGCATATTTCACCAGGAATTTCTCCTGCATCTCCTTGCTGTTCCAGGATCCCCTTGTGCTTCATACCTTCCAGACATTTCATAGGGGGCTTGTACAGGAGAAACATCTATCAGTCAACTCCAGCATTATTCCCATAAGTTTCAGTGGTAGCTCTAGGGAGACAAACATATTGATTCTTTTTTCAGTTCCCATTAAGCCTTAAAACCATGATTATGGATAGTTTACATATAGATGACAAGACTCCCCTATGTTCATGAAAGAACACATTCACGTGGCTCAATTTTGGGAGAAGGAACATGTTCCTGCCCTCAAAGGCCTGGGATCAACAAAGGAGATTAAAGGTAAAGGACTCCTTTGCCCTTTTCTTTAATGGGTTTTTTTTTAAGTGTCTTTGAATTTCAGGAAAGCAGCAAACAGAGAAAGAACTGCCACTTTTAAATTGAAGTAGACGAGATCTATGATTGTTTTAAAAAATCCCTTTATCAATACTTTGCAGAATAGTTTTTTTCCAGCAAAAAATCATTAGGCAGGTTGACTTAAGGAAGGGGAAGATCGAAAGAGAGAAAAGTTTGCGTTGTGTAAAGTTTTCAATGCATTTACTCTAATTTTGTGAAGTTTATTAAACAACTTTAAAGATTGTATAGTCTGTTTATTGTATGTATGTACATACAGTCTGATACTTAAGATTTCAAGTGGATTCCATAAAACCTTGCTCAGTCTTGTTTAGACTGTTGGATCTCGTTTTAGCTTTGTGCACTGGGTTCTACCTCTGTATAGGAGAATTTTCCACATTCTTCAATTAGTACTGATTCTGTGATTTAACTTGGTTATGTTTCTTGCACTAAAAATTAAAAAAAAAGGAAATCTGTTAAATGTGGGGTTTTCTTATTAATATTACGTTCTTGCAAGCTACATTACTTTTAACAATTCTTTAAAAATAGAATTATTATGAGAATAGTTCTGTAAATCATTTATTTTTTGGCATTGCCAAAAATTGCAGAAAAAGACCATGTTTTTGCTCTTCCCATGGGTTTCCGAAAAGGCTTAGTATATTGTAAGTACAAAATTGTATTTCTCTCATTCCCAAATCAAACCATTCTTAGCTCATATGTTCAATTAAGTGATTAATGAATTCGATTTGTAAATATGCCTAATTAAATATTGCTGGAACCCCCGTCTATTTTTCGAAAAAGTTGCTGCAAATGGTCTTTGCAGGACAGATATTAATGCAGTGATCAATTCTTCTCTGGGCTGAGCTTTCTGCATATTGAGAGATCTTGTAAAAAAATCATGCCACAAGGTATTGCTCAGTAATAACTTTGATGGCTGTAAAAACATCATGAAAATGTACACGGACACTCTGGTGAAATGTCAGAAATCATTGGACAGCAGAATAAAATTCCCAAGGGTTGAAAAAGGTTCATTCCAGGTTGGGCTCTGAGGCCACCTCCATGGCAAGCAAAATTAGAATATGTTTGGGAAAACAATTGACAGTGTAATCTGAGGCTCAAGACAAACACAGGATTCTCCCCATTTCGTTTCTGTCGTAGATATTTCTACCTCAGCAGTAAAGCTGGAATAGACACGAGTGGATGAAAGACTGCGGGAGGGGGGAAGAAGGGTATATAGACTTCCAGGCAGCTTCTCTGTGGATTTTAAAATTGAGAATTCTTAGGAAAAGTTAAGATAAGATTCAAAGGATATATAGGAATTGTACTTCCTTTGTGAGATAATTTTTCCATTCTAAAAAATTATGCAGTAAGTCTTTAATTTGTGAAGAGCCGAGTGCTGCTTCAGTCATGCCTCTTATTTTAAGAGTGTATCTATTTCATTAAAGAAATGAAAATACCCTCATCAAAAAGGAAAATAAGACCTAAGGAAAATAACTAAAGTGATAGAAATAATGAGGGCAGGAAACAGAGGAGGAAAATGCACAAATACACACGCGCACACACATATACACACTCATATATTTGTTTTAAAGGCTTGTTAAACTTTTAAAAAAGGTAGAATTCTACTGCCTTGTATATTTTCAGAAAAAAGGTGCAACCTGTTTTCTGGGAAAGGACAAATGCTAGCCAGGTTTCATTCTTGCTAATCATTACAAGACACAAATTTACTAGGGGTTAAATAGTCAGGTTTGCTCCCAGCAAATGTGGAAGACAATGATTTTACATCTGGAACAAATTTATCTTCTTACATTGCATTCTCCATCTTTCAATCTTTAACAAAAGTCAAAGCAGTAATGGACCCTGTTTTGAATTCTTTGAGCAAGTAGCAGAGTTTCTTTGCTAAGATCCACAGGCACAGTTCCCGTCTATAGAAAAGACCAATTGGGGAAAAATAGAATTTTATGGCAAGCAAACCTGTTTTGGGGCATCCTGTTTGTTGACCTTCATCTTTTGGGGTTTGGCTTCTTGGCAATAATTGAGCCTGTGTCTATCACTGCCAGCATTCAGTGCTTCTATCTCTTGACCACAGGAGATGAAAAACACACCAAACAGTTTCCTCACGAAGTAACTACTGTTTGCATTGAACTTCTGTCTTTTTAACAGATTCCAATGGAGAAGGTTCCAAATGTATAAAACATTCTTATTGTAGTTCTGCCTTTCGATGTGTGTATCAACAAATAGCCCTTGCCAAAAGAATGGATGATTTGTAAATGTTCAAGCGCAGCAATATGTTTGGGAGGCCTCATCTACCTACAGACTAGTGAATCATGAAAAATAATTAAAAATGAAGCTGAAGTACAGTAGAAGCTCTATGGTTTATCGCACTGGAAATTGTGCATGTTTGTAAGGGTGAGGGGTTTTTTGTTGTTCATTTATGTGTTCTTGTGATCACGTTTATCATGATATGTATATTCATTGTTAAATGCACTGGACTGAAGATTTTTATGTTACCACCATTCATTTTTTCTTTCTGAATTTCCAAAATTTTTGCTGTATTCCTATAACCATTGAACACAGTAGGACTTAACTTCTAAATATGATTGTGCTCTTAGACTAGAATCTTTACTGATGTAATTCTTTGTTGGGTTGGCCATGTTGGTTGCATGTTCTGTGAATTATAGACCCCCTACATCTGAAGGACACTACACTGGAGAAGACTCTGACTTCATCCTTGAAGTACTTCTAGAAATATTGGGTTAACACATCATGCTTCCATGTTTTCTCTGGATTGTGAGTGCAGCAGCAACTCAGCCAGTGTATGGTCTTTCCTAGTTCATTTCTATATGACTGAAGTCTTTGAGATTGAATGAGAAAGTAGGGCTGATGTATATTAAGTTCTCTCATTAATGAATTAGCTCCTATTTTCACACACAAAATAGTGTGCATTACTATTTAAGATCAACTCTGTCCTCCAGCAAGTGAAAATCAGTCACTTGTGTACAAGTTAGAAGGATGTGCTACACTAAGACTTGTTGCTAACATTAATAAAAAGCAAAGTTTGATCATTTTGCCTCAATTACAGGTTCTTTTCCTAAAACAAATGTGCATGATGTCAGATGTGACTCTGTAATGGAAAAATGAATTATGTCTCATTGTGAACATTAGTAACAGAAACCCAGATCTAAAATACTGCAAATCACCTTTGTCCTTAGTGGGGTAAACTGGAAGAGACGGAAACAGTGCTTTTAGTTGTATATGACTTGTGATATTCCACAAATGTGATGAGTAACTCTACTTTTACTTCTGTAAAACAGAGACTCGAAGCAATATTGGGTATGAAACCAAAAATCTGTATTATTAAGTCTTTGGTTTTATCGAAGAGTAGTTTTATCTATCACCTCTACCTCTTATCTGTTATTATTTTATTTTGATAAAAGTATTTTAAATACTTTAAATTGCCTCAGAAGAGTTTGTATGCCTGCTATGGATGTATAGAAGGAACTAATAAAATAACTTTCATCTTTTGGTTTGCTTTAATAAACATTGAGCACACCATATGTTTAAATGCAATCCATATTTAATATAATGCCTGTATTTTTCCCTAGGAGAAATACCCCTTGCTTCAGCCTGCCAGTTTCTGTTCAGTCCTAGGTATTACCTTTCCCATCAACTAAGCACCCCAGCAGGTACAGACCAACTAATTTTGCTCCAGTTCCAAATTACAAGTTGTAATAATATACCAGTCAGTGTGACTAAAAAAGATGTCTGGAGAAAAGACTTGGCTATTACTAGGACTCTGGATGAAGTAATGAATGCACTCAGAATTGATTGTATGATTATATGCCGTCAAATTACTGTCGACTTTTAGCAACCGCATAGATAACGTTTCTCCATGATGATCTGTCCCTAACCTGGTCTTTCAGATCTTCCAATGGTGCACCCATTGCCACTGTAAGTGAATCCATCCGTCTTGCTGCTGGTCATCCTCTTCTTCTCTTTCCTTCCACCTTTCTCAGCATTAGAGCTAGGTCTTGCATAATGTGTCCAAAGTAAGTTAATTTAAGCCTGGCCATTTATGCCTCAAGTGAGAACTCTGGGTTGATTTGTTCAATGATCCATTTGTTTGTTTTCTTGGCTGTCCATGGTATTATCAGGAATCTTCTCCAACACCAAAGTTAAAAAACATCAATACTCAGAATGTAGACAAAACCCTTCCTCCTTGTTCTTAAAATGTGGGTTATCTAATATTGGAAATGTTGGGTCAGGTGATGTCATTTTTTTTATTTTAAAATATTCTGTTCTGAATTCAGATAAGCTGTTCTGGTCATTCTGGAGATGTTCTGTGTTTCAAACAACGCAAAATCTGTTTTGAATTTAAAACAGATTTTTCAAGCTTGAAATACTTCTGGGATAGTCAGAATAGCTGTTTCAAATTTGGAGCAGAGTGTTTCAGGCTCAAAATGTTTCAAATCCAGAATGTTTTGCACATTCCTAATGACGGGCAGGTTATGTATCATCTAGCTTAGAGCTTTTCTTTGGGAGGAGAAGAAGCCATTTCTTATGTATGGAAAAAGAAACATGCAGAGACATCCATGAATTCTGTGTCTCAACACTTAATCCAACTGGCTTTGGGGAATTGTCTTTCATATCTGTTTCAAGGACTTTGACCGATACAAAGAAAATATCAGGAGCGCTGGCAGCTGGTGTTCCTATATCCTCTTTCCTTGTGATACTCACTTCTATCGCCCAGGCGAACAAAGCTAGTTCTATTATTTCTTCTCCTCTCAATTTCTCTTTGATCACCAAAGTATCCCAGCAATTTTAGGAACCTGGAATGCCCCCAAGAGGGTAAGGAAAGCTGACAATGGCAAAGATAATTCCTGTTGCCTTTTGTCTTTGTGCAGTTGTTGGGGCAGAGGTGAGAGCAACAAATGTCCTAAGCTATGCTTTGACAGGAAGGCAGGCTGGCTCCTCTCTGCAGAATTGTGAAGCTCTGTTTCATTCCTCTCTCTGGCCATCTTTTCAGTACTTTTCCTTATCATTTTTGCTCTCTCCATGTAGAGTTCTGTCATTTTTGAAAATGCAGGGATTCCTGTTATAGATTCAGTCATTGGGGAGTCTTGCAGCCAGTCTTCAGCATGGAGTACTCGGACGCATTCAGCTTTCTCATCATTGCTCTAAGCTACAATGTGACGATTATAGGTGAGTACGTAAGACTAGATTATTTGTGGGGTGAGTATGTGTATTTAGCTATTTGAAGGATTAGTTAATTTTTCAGCCATTACTTTAACTTGATATGGTGAGGTTGATTGAAGGACAGGGTCTTATTAAGTCATGCACAATAACTTGTTTAAACCTGTGTTAACATAATATGAACAGTGCAAAGTAGAGATTGTAATAATGAGTTATCTGAATGAATGAGTGGGTATTTTTCCACCATAGTTATTAGTTCCTTTATAGGTTTGGTGATCTACCAGTTAAAAAATGCCTTATCTTTTTTTTTAAACAAATGCACTTAAAAATCAAATAACCTGTTTACAATAAACATTCTGAACAGGTCCAGTTTTGTTTTGGGGACAGATAGCTAATGTATGCTTTTCCTTTTCAATTAGAATTTGTGCCAGGCCAAATGTTTGACTGTTGTTAATCCTCTTCTGGAAAATGCACCTTTTTGGAACTAGTAATGGTGAATCCATGAGCATTCTTATTGATGTTTCAGTTTGGGATATAGAAGTGTTTTAAAGAAGACATTTCTAAGGTCATCACAGACTTGTTTTACCATTAAGTGGGAATGATAAATGTTCCCAAATGTATAAACTTCATGTTTTGTTCACTTTTTAAAAATTTGTTCACAATAAATATTTTCATCCGCTCCTTCCATCCAACAATTGAATTTCCCAGATTAGACACTAAGGAGGACTAAGATATGAGCATGTACCAAAATGTCTTAAATATCTCTCTAATACTCCTTCCTTGGGCTTGATAACTATCAACTGTAGAGCTGCCTCAAACTTTCTCCTGAGGATGTTCATTTTTAGCTAGTATTTTTGTACCAAACTCTTACAACTATTTGTTGTACAACTGCTGCCCTTTAATTGACAATCCTTCCATTCTTGTTCTTCCTTTCTAGGAAAGATTTGGTTAACACTTGTGATCCTCCTGAGACTTACGGTGATATTCTTAGCAGCCTACCCTCTCTACCAAGATGAGCAGGAACGCTTCATCTGCAACACATTGCAACCAGGATGCTCCAATGTGTGTTATGACCTCTTTGCTCCAGTATCGCATTTTCGGTTCTGGCTGATTCAGAGTGTGTCTGTCCTCCTTCCTTATGTTGTTTTTGGTGTCTGTGTATCGCACAGTGTGGTCAGGCAGGTTGTAAAGCCCTCTTCCTCCCCTTACTCTCAGTACAAAGAAATCAAGACTTTATCTGGCTACAAAATTACAAAGAAGTCCTTCAAAAGTGCAGCAAGAAAGAGAAAAAGTGGTAGGACAAATGAAATGGCTGCCCTGAATTTTTCCAGGGCTTACGTTGTTCATCTCATTCTGAGAATATTGATAGAGGCTGGCTTTGGAACTGGTCATTATTATCTCTTTGGATTTTTTGTTCCGAAGCATTTTTCTTGTGACCACTTCCCTTGCACAAGTTTTGTTGATTGCTACATCTCCAGACCGACTGAGAAGTCCATAATGATGCTTTTCATCTGGGGACTCAGTAGCTTCTCCTTTCTCCTTAGCCTTGTTGACCTAGTCTTTGCTTTGCGAACCAGTGCTGTAAGAAATCAGAGAAATAAGCTTCTGTTGCAGAAGTTCAAAGAAGATAGTCCAGGCAAAGATTTACTTCATCATGGAAGCATGGCCATCCCTGATGGTGGTGGAAAATGCTTGCTTGCTTGTGAGGATACAGAAGACTCTCCTTTTCCAGCTGCAATGACCCTTCCGCAGACAATTGGCTCTCATCTCAACAGTAACCGTAATAAGCTATGTAATGAATCTGCCAATCAAGGTCTGCTTTTTAATGAAACCAAACAGCAGGAGAATCCATATGAGCAATCAAGACACGGGCAGCAGTCTTGCTTTATCAAAGAACCCTTGGCTTTTAAATCCCAGGAGATGTGCCATCATAGGTCTCATTCATCTGCAAGTTACGACAAACCCTCAGTTCATTATTCTACCCTGGAGAGAAAGACGTCTGATATGGAATCTGTCTGCAGTAGTTCTGAGTATTCGAAATCCAAAAAATCTGAATGGGTGTAGAAAGCCAGGAAGCAATATAGTAGCTAAAAAATCTCAGGATCACAAAATTAAACATGCTGTCATTACCATTAAATTCTTTAGTTGAAAGGAGAGCCTTGGAAGAGTGTGTTTCCTGAATATACTGTAACTGTACTTCAATATTAGATGAGTTTTTGGAATGGGGTAAAACAACTACTCAGAGACACTCGGAGATTCTCTGTGGCACCAGGGTTGCTATTCTGTTGTTTGCTATGTATTTATCATATGCTACAGAATTTAAGCAGTACATTTCCTTCTCACTGTTAGAATGAGAAACTGCTTAAAGTCATTGTTTTAAAGGAGAACAATGGGAAATAATAGAAAAAATATTTTTAAATGGAAGGGGAAAATGTTGACATTTCTTTTGTATCGTGGTACGACCCACTGCAATCATGGCCCCACCCAATATGATGTTACCACCCTGCTCATTGTGGCCTTTTGCCTGAAGAAAAGGGCCAAGCTGCAACCATTGGTAAACAAAAGATTCCCCATTGAAAGTCCTCTTCTGTGTGTTCTCACATGGTTACAGTTGCTGTGTGGGGGCTGCCAATCATTGGGATAATATGCCTTATTCCATACAAAGTCTCAATTCTGAATCCAGAAAACCTCTATGTTTATAGTAGGGTGAAAATCTGGAGAGAATGCTGTTCTTCATCTTGCATAATTAAGTGAGGTGCAAGAATCTGAACAGATTTCTGGTTCAAGCCATTTGGTACCTAAAAAAGAAGAAAACATCTGGCAGGTGTTGATTTCAGATGCAAATTCACCATTCTAAGAAGTTTATGTTATGTTTTTCATGAAATCTTAGTCCAGACTAAGTCAGCAGAATTTATTCTGCTGAAATACCGGAATCCCAAAGGAAGTTGAGCAAGACATCTTAAGGTCTTCAGTGCTTTACCGTATCGCCTCTCTCTGGCCTTGGAATAACAGAAATGACTTGAAGGATTGCAAAATAAGCAGATAAGTGCAAACTTAGTTATGTGGTAAAATGTATTGAAAACACAATCTAATTTTTTCTTGGTGCCTTTTCAGTTCGTGAGACAGAGCTTTGGGCAGTACCATAACCCAATCTGGCAATGAAGCATTTGTTCTCGTGCTTACCCAGTGGCATATATAGGGCTTCCTCATTTGTTTCAGTGAAAGAAGCATGGTCATCAGCCAACCCTTGGAGAACGGAAGGCCTCCTTTATTATTAAGCTCTTGTATGTGCATAGTGCTTGCGTTTACCTTAGGATCTGGATTGGAGTACACATAGATTTTATGATCCCCAAGAAAGAAGCCTGAAATGCCCTCCTCCATATACAAAAAAAAGTCAATCCAGGTATATCTGTAAGAGACGAAAATAGCGACCAAAAGCAGAGCTGATTTGGCTATTCTCCTAGATAACTGTATGAGAATCCCTTGTACAAGTGTACAAAGTGATAGATGATACACCAGAAAAAGAACTTGCACCTTTTTGACAGTGTCATTTAATACCTAATCCTGATGGCCTACTTCCAAAATTGAAAGTATTATTCAATTCTACTTTTCCAGAACACACAATGTAAAGCCAAAGTGTGCTTAGTGTCATGACAAGGAGTTACTTTTTTTAACCACTTGACTTGATTCCCTTATTCAAAAGCAGGATTTTAAAACCACTCTGGTCACGTTTACAGAAAGATTGGGAAAATGTATCCCCAATGTATCTTGGTTCCTCCTATGGAATGTGCAAGTCTTTCGATGTGAGATTTTGCTTAATGGTTGAGAAGCCATTGCAAGCATGCCGGTTTGGATGATTTCTTTAGCAGTGGTATTTTATTTACAGAATGAAAAATTGCATAAATGGTGGGATCTTTATTTTTTAGAACTGTTTAGCTTATGCTTACATCTGTTTATCATCTTTCATTAATCATTAAAGTCTGAGTGCCATATACATAGCAAGAAATAGTTTGTTTATTGAAATATATCTTGACAGCAATTCTAGTTCATCTGAGATGGTGAGTCAGGAATCAACTCTAAGGAAGAAAATACTTGCAGAATAATCTCATAGATTTTGCAGTTTTCTCAGCTTGCAGAAAAAAACAGTTCCTAGGAATTCGGCTTGCAGTGGACCATTTTACACCAAAAGACATTTCTAAATTATAATAGTGTTATGTTTTAATGTACTTATTCTGAGATCTATTATCTATCTATCTATCTATCTATTATCTATCATCTATCATCTATTATCTATCTATAATTTT